ACCATGGAAGTTTAAATCTGAATAGCTCGCACAATTCATGTTTATTTTGAGTGAAAATTTCACACAAGGTTTATCAGTTGTTTATTAATAAAGGGGCGTCCAGGCGTATATATAGTATGTTTTGTTTTCCTATTACAAAGTTGCCAAGCAAGATGTGTGCTGTATAGTCAATCACGGTCAGTATTTCACACTTCGAATGTCATTGTCCGAGAATGCAAAGCTTTAAAAATAAGCCCACACGTCCTTTTGTTCGTAGAGACGTTGTCAAAAAAGTGTGAAAATGTCAAGATAAACTGACAAAAACTGTGGGAGCTAATTAATTTTCAATCTCACTGACCAACCAGAAAACACAAACGGAGATAATGGCCCGTTTTAAGAAAGTGACGTTAATCGTCCAAAAAATGGCTATTGCATCACGACAATATGCCACAATCCATCATACACCGACGCTCGCTGATGTTCAGTCGTCAGATAACAAAATAAAATAAAAATATTTACAGTACCAGGGAAACGGACGTAAAATCGTCCGCGGAGTCAAAAACCTTGCGTGAAAACTGTCATGTCGTCGTGTTATCTTTTCCACTTAGGGAGGGACACAATGGATTACGTAAAACTGGTGAGATATTCATACAGTTATATAAACATAGCGATCCCCATTGGGTGGGTTGAGTCTAAATTTACCTTTCCTCAAACCTTTAAACAAATACTCTGTATGACGCAGTTTTTCACGATCTCCGGTGAAATGGACCGTGCGAAGTTAGACAGCCAGGTTAAAATGGGTCGTAATATTTTGCTACACAGCAGCTATTCGCAGTTTTTGTACTCAGTCGCTCAAACGCCGGTGAGAAAAAGTCGAAATGAAGGACAACTATTGTATATCGAAACAGGTTTCATTCAACCACGAGCAGACGAGACGGGTCGATAAAAATTAAAACGAACCCTGACCTCTGGAAATACCTCATTCATAGAGTGCCATAGTACCAGAGGTCGCCGAGCACGGCCGTACAACGTAACGTACTTTGCGACATCGCTACAGATGCATGCTAGCTGACAAGGGGGTTTCCGATTAAGGTAACTGAGATGGCATCGCAGAGTGCGTGATTTTTCCGCGGTGTTTAAAAACGGCATCTCGTTGCCGATGTTTCTGTAATTTTCGGGGTATTTTAATCTTTAATTAACCGCGCATTTCACGTTTGTGTATTTTGCCACTGAAAAGTTAGTTATCGATGACAGCACATCAATGGTCTGAATGGTGTTTATCCACTACATCGCAATGCTATCAACACGGTGATCCTTGCAGCGAAACGACAAATGTATAATTTGTTTTATAATGCCCTCGGAGAAGAAAATGCGTGAAAAAAATATATTTAACAGTACTCCACTGGAAGCTGCCAGGCTAGAAATTGTCGACATGTTGCGAGATAAGGGTGAAAAAGTTTACTTATCATTTACAGCTGTATGTTTTTTGTATTCCGCTTGCATGCTGGAAGCGTCTACGTCTTGTTTTTTTGTAGTTTGCAAGACTAGTTGATAGCGCTTGAGGTAAGTTAAACAGGGTCGCGGACAGGAAGTTACACATCGCCGCACCGTAACTGAGGCCAGCAACTCATTTGCATATAACATCAACAGTGACTTGTCAATCAAAGAGCAACGTAAACAAACTTTCGGGACTTTTAATCACATACGCGTGCCCCATATTTTAAAATCCAAGTTTTGGGCATGTTCCAACATTGACAATGCACCGAAATTTCAACACTATCTAGCCAAGACTGTCTGGGTAAGAAATGCGAAAAAAAATCACTACGAGTGCCCACGAACCTGCATCTATACCTTAAATTTTGCTTGATTCATTTGGGCTAAGATAGTCAAAATCGCACTGGTCATTTCCCCAGATAATGACGGTCCGAAATGCAAACGATTCAGTCATCGTTCAAGTTACTCAGAATAATCTGTCATGACATATTTTGACTGATTTATGATTTAATATTACAAAATCAATATTGTCTATTTTTGCACTATTGTCTATAGTGCACACACATCAGCACAAACATAATGGTTTTATTTTCTCTTATGATTCCTGTTCATTTTAGACAAGCATGTGACAAGAACATGTACACTTCCTCTTTAATTAATGTCATAGGCATGTGAATAGTCATGTTCTCTTGATGTGCAGCTACAAATGCAAAATTCATATCCCAGATATCGATAAAAAATACCCCATGTCCTCTAAATACGTCTTTCATTATGCGGTTCATGTCGTAATGTATCCAGTAGTTCGACATATCGTTTCTTTCATGTGAGCCCTTGATGGCAATGACAGTATTTGGACAGCGTTTCCGGAGACGTTGTATACCTTTGGCAATCATGCTGAGCCTCTATGTGTAACTATCTGTAGTCCAAGAGTCGAAATGGGCCCAGAGACTAATAACAATGACGTAATTGCATTTTGGGGCAGTCAGCTGGTCTAAAACGTCAATGGAGAATGGAAAACGGGATATTGGAACAAATCCGTGCAGTGAGAGTGCATGGTGATGAAAAGTGAAATTAATGTTGTTTTTTAAGTCGGTCACCATCATGTCATACGCATCTTCCCCACTAACATTATAGTCACCAGGTATTGTGTTAACACGTTTCCTCCAGTTATCATCTGTGGCATTTATGGGATATCCAGCTATGTCCAGCATTTGTTGATACCACTGTCTAGTTGTGGAGTCACCAACAAAATACACGTCTTTGTCCTGCAAGCATTTCTGAACTTCTTTTGCGTGGTTCCATTCTCTGTTTCGACAGACCAAGGAGTACCATCTCATACCAAGCCAGTATCCGGTAACTAATGGTTCCAGTAAGTCTGATTCACACCGAGGTACACTATATGTATTGTCATCAGGTTTTACACTGCCTGTAAATGATATAAGCAATGATATATTAATATAAACTTGCATAACTGCATTCATTCACATTGTATTACAACCAAACTATTATAGGAATACTGATTTAAATTTACATTTCGAAATAAATGAACATTTCGAAGTATATACCTAATAGAATTGCAATTATTTTAAATAATGAAATATGGGATACCAATTGCTAAAATTGGTAGTATTCGTGTTATGGCCAAAAAAGGTGATAGTTTAACAATGGAAGGACGACGCTGGTTTATGAAATTGTCAGGTAGTAGTAATTATCCTCTATATATAACAACAGAAATGGTTTATGTTGATATGATAGTGTATGTGCTATCACGACAGCAAATACCACAACGTCACGCATGCACGTGTCAATCTTGTGAATGGCTTTACATATGGTTTGACCCAGGGCGACTCAGTCAAGTATACAAGTGTGATATACAACAGTATATACAGTTGGGATTATGACATACTTGATTTGTTCAGGTAACAGACACTACATTAGGAAAAAATACTGTATAATCATTGGATGCGGTGTACATGGGGCTTGGTGTTGCATCATATGCATGAATACAATGCTGATGCCCAACTGAGATATGACATGTTTAATCGTTTAATCATGGTACATACAAATGTTTACAGGAACTCGAAATAATGTTAATTTAACAGCAGTTCGGCTGAAAAGAAATCCACGGCAAAAAACTACAGCAACCAAAGTACTAGTAATAGCCACAAATATTTATAAAGACAGATGAGA